CACCAGGAGGTAAAATCCACCCTTCTGCAGGTCCTGCCTGTGAAACTGCTGGAAGGGCAGGAATTTGGGATACCTGGGGGATCCCCACATGGAAGTGGGTGTCAGTGCTCCAGACCCAGCTCTGCTCATGGTGGCTCTGGGACAGATCCCTGAGCTGGAGGTTTAACTTGCATTTCCATCAGTTCAAGGGCAGGCAAGTAGAGTTTTCTGCAGAGTTTTTCTAGTTCGTAACAATGGGAAGCCGGGGCAGCACATGTGAATTCAGCACTGAATGAACCTGCAGCTGCTTTGCTGAAGGTGGGCAAAGATCCCTGTCAGTATGGAATTCCCAGTGGGAAATGTCTGGTTTATAAATACAAATAACTTTTCCTGAACCCAAATTACTCACTTTGGGTACAGGAAGGAATTGGGGCCACAGTGGGAATTGCTTCCCATCAGCACAGAGGCAGGAGAGCAGGAATTCTCTCCAGATTCCCAGTGCTCAGTGTGGGATGGTGGGAAAATCCTGAGCTGCTGCTGAAGCTCAGGATCTGCAGCTCCATCACTGGATCTACTTGGATTGGTGCTGCTAGGAGCCACCCGGGCTGGTTTGGGCTCTGCTGCTGTGCAGTCCCTGAATTATTTACAGAAAAGCTGGGATTCTGTATCCAAATTTGCATTTCAAAGAGTGAAGTGAGGTGGGGGTGGAAAAAGGAAAATAAAAGGCTGGTGCGTTGGAAGGGCTGGATTTGGCCAGCAAAGGGTCTATTCTGAAACAGCCCTGTCCCAAATGATCCATTTTCTCTTGGATAAGGTTTCCTTGAGGATGGAAGGACAATAAAACTGTCTCCTGTCCACTGTTATCCACAATTTCAGCACAGTGCCCTAGGATCAGGGATATCTCAGCACATCCATAAGGTGTCTGATACAAGGAAAGCCAGGTTTTAGTGTGTCCCAACCCCTCACGTAATCCATGGCCTTGCTGATTCCTGTGGGATTAGGGCAGATATGTCACCAGAAACAAGAGGATTTGGGTGTTAATGTGCTGAGCAGCCGTGTAAGCACCTAATCCTGGTCCCATTGTCCTTACTCCCTGCTGGAATTGGGACCAACATCTGTGGGCCCAGAGGGGTGGCCCAAAGGATGGAGAATGCGCTCTGCTCCTAGGGATTCCAGAGCAATTCCGCAGGGTTTGGAGGAGAAAGGGTTACAAAGGATCAATAATCGGATAAAAAGGGTTGCCAGGAACATCTGGTGCTGGGGCTGACTCATCCTGGGCAGGTTGAGATGAACCTGCTGGGACTAATCCCAGGATGTGGGGCCTGACCCAGTTACCCAGTTACAGCCACGCTGGTGGCACCGGATCCTCCTGGGGACCCTCCTCACTGCACAAGGCTCATTTCTCCCGAGATTTCCATCTCCAGGCCCTGCTTGGGTGGAGCAGCTGTGGAGGTACCTGCAGGTGCCTGTGCTGGGTCCTCGCTTGTTCCTGCAACCTCAGCAGGGGGATTTGTGCTGTGGTGCAGCTCATCCCTGCAGGGCAGGTGGGAGTTTGGATCTCGCCTCCAGTCGCTCCAGACTGGGAATGTGCTCAGAGACGGCCGTGCCAAGGGAGCCTGAGGTGTCACTGGTCACAGGCACAACCTGCTCCAGACAGCACAGAACCAGAGACCCGAGAAACACCAGTCATTCCCTGCCAGAGCTCAGTTCTGCCTGGTTCTAGTGCCTAAAAATAACCTGGAGGAGGGAGAGCTCAGGCTGGAACACAAAGCCAGGTGCCAGAGCCTGTGCCAGAGCTGGTGCCACCGTGGGCAGTGCCCTGGCTGTGCCCCCTCCCAGCTGTGTCTGATGGGCTCAGAGCTGGGTGTTGCTGCAGGGTTTTGCAGATTTGAGGGTTTTGCTATTTTTCAAACCCCTCAAGATTCACAACCTGGGCAGGAAGAACTGCTCCAGCCCCAGTTCCCCAGTTTAGAGGAATCCCATTTCTGTAGGATTCGTGGCATATCTTGCTTTGTATTTCTTTATCTTTTGGGGCATTTTTTAAGCGCTGCTGTTGAGATCACCTGATCAGCACACTGAGGGATGAGTCAGCCTGGGAATGGCCGTGGTGCCATCCTCGGGCAGCATCCTTCCAGCTGGGAGCATTCCTGGCTTTGGGAGCTGCTCCCAGCTGTGGGTGTGTGATGCCAGCAGACCTGAAGCTTGTGCTGGGGACAGTCACAGCCCCTTTGGCCATGGACACCTCTGGGACAAGTATCAGGGTGCCATGAGCAGATCTCTGGCCCTTGTTGCACTGACCTGAACCTTTCCCGGCAGCTTTCTGGAGGAGGTCACAGCCGCAGGATTCCGCGGTCGAAGCACCGACAGCTCCCAAGTCCCACCAAGGTCCAGCAGCCGACGGTGAATCCTGAAGGAATGAGTACTTTTTTGAACATTCAGAGCTTTCCCAGAGCAGAGCAGAGCAGGATGTTCCTGCCCTGCAGCTGGAACCTCCGCACCCAGAATGGCAGCGAACGCTGGAGCTGGTGCTAGCCCAAAGGCAAGGATGTGCCCCCACTGCAGCTCCTCATTGTCCCCTCACAAACAGCTCCAGGACTGGGATGGTCACCTGAGGAGAGCCTGGGAAAGCCCTTGAATCCCTGCAGCTCCTGGCTCTTTATGGGACGCATGGGCTGAGTCCCATGAGGAGCCCAGCGATGCTGCCCCGTGCTGGGGGAGCAGCTGTGGGGGTGTGGCTGGTGGGCACAGGAGCCCTTTGCTCTGTTGTCTGTATATGTTGAATCCTATTAAATCCCCCACTTTGGCCGAATCTGTCTGCTGGATGATTCCCACTTTCCCTTTCCCAAGGCCACAAGGTGCAGTTACAGCCTGAGCCTCCACGGGAGCTTTTGCTCCCCTCCAGGACCACACCAAGGAACCTGCAAGTGTGTTTCCAGCTCTGCCCCCTGGCCTCTAATCAGCACTTGATTTGGAATTAACAAGCCAGATCAAATGAAATGAGCTCCTAAATCCCTGGGAATTATCTTGGCATCGCAGCTAAGTCCCGTTGATGTGGGAGAGAGCAAAGCCCTGCAGGGAGGAGGGGACCTTGCCCTGGGGGTCAGCTCTTTGGGGAAGGGAGGGGAGAACAAAGCCTGTGCTGGGGGGGGATTCTCTGCCCACAGCCAGGGTGGAACTGGGTGGGCATCTGTATGGTGAATTTTTGGTGAATTTTGGGTCGTTGGGACAGGCAGAGCTGCAAGAATTCCCTCTTACAGGGAATTCTCTGACAGCCTGAGACCCCAACAGCTGGGGCAGCTGAGTCACAGCTGTCAGAGGATACTGGACAACCCCTGCCCCATCCACTCCTCCAGCAGCCCCTTCCCTAGACACTAAGGCACTAATTGTCATCAGAGACACAGAAAAGCATGTGTCCTAATTAAACTCTACTCACCTTCCAGGCAGCAGCTTCACACTTGATATCCAGAGGCAAAATGCTGTGTGTGGGGTGTTAACTACATAAATAAACAGAGCATTTGCTGCTCCGCTCTGCAAGAAGAGGCGATTCTGGCAACGGTTTATAATGGATCAGCACAAGGAGCAGCCACAGCATCAGGACCGGGGTAGCAACAGGGGCTTGTGAATACAGGGAGAGACACAAACACACCTTGGAGAGGCTTTTCATTCTGCCCACAGGGATGTGGACAGGGATGGAGATGAGAAGCTGCACTGACCACTGGTGAGCAGCCTCATTGCTGGAAGTGCAGCCTCCTGTTCCTGGTAGAGAAATGGGAGACGAGTTCCCTCCTATCTCCTTCCTTCCCTGTAAATTGTTGATGTTTCTAGCTCTGAATCATTGGTCACATCCTTCACAGTGTGACTCACTGTCGCACTGTCAGAACAGCCTGAGGATCCCAACTGCGGCTGAATTTCTGCTCCCAGCGATGGGGAGGGAGGTGTTTGCAGGTGCATTACCTGCTGTGGTTTCAGGGCAACTTCCCTGGCACCAGAGGACGTTTGGGAAGAGCGTGGGCCCTGGATCCAAAGGGCACAACGGAGCTGTCCTACTGCCACCAGCACTGTGCCATCTGGTATTGGCCATCAGCCGGTTCTCTGCAGGCCCTGGCCACCAAAAACAGGATGTGAGGAAGGACAAGTCCGGTTGGAAGGCAAAATGTCATTAAATAAATTGGCAGGTTCTGTGATGTCCTAGGGATACACTGGGGGCCCTGGGCAGCTGACGTGGGTCATCTGTCCCTCTGCTATCAGCCCTGCCAGGAACAAACTTTGGGGTAAAAGGGGAAACTGAGGCACAGAGACAACAAATCCCGGTCTTGAGCCCCATGGAGTTCAGGATTGCACAGGCACAGGATGAGAAGGCAACCCCCAGATTTGGTGTAGAGACTGGTTTGTGTCTCTGTCCCAGGTATTCTCAGGTATGCAGTGCATCCACAGCTCATGGCAAAAATGCCAATGCTCAGAATGGGATACAAACACAGCAGCTCTGGAAATACTCCAGAATCCAAGTACATCCCTAGGACTCTGCGTGCATTAATTCCAGAGTACTGGGGTGAAACTACAGCTTGAAATCAAGGGTGGGGGATGGACAGCCATTGGAAACCTGATCCACTGATGGATGATGGATCAATCTATTTCTTGCAGGACATGAAGGAGGCAGACAAAATAAGCCAAAAAAGGGCATTTTTTAGGAAGCTGAGTGTCTCCTGACTTTTGGAACCCATGCTCTAAATCCAGCTGAATCCTGGCTGTCGGACCCTCCGTGCTGGAAGCGACCCCTTCCTCCATCCCCCTCCCCAGGAAATCCCCCATCTCCTCTCTCCAGAGAGATTTGCTCCCACTTCCGAACACCTTTAGGGGCGAAAACCCTCCCAGTGCCACCCGGCTGCTATTCCCTCTCCTAGGAAGTTTCCCGGTGACCCACGACACCGCCGGCAACGCGGCTGGTCCCCGGTGGGAGCGGCAGGCGAGGCACCGCTGCCGCTGCCCCACGGCCCCGTGTCCCCCGGTGAGTCAGAGACAAAAGAAGAAAAACCCTCGTGGGCTGCGATTCGCGCCGTGCCGCGAACCCCGACGTCACGGGCTGGCGGCTATAGATGGAGCTCGGGAGCCCGGCGCAGCCCGGCGCAGCCCCCCGAGCTGCGGGATGGTGGCGGCGGGGGGGGACGCGGCGGCGGCGGCGGCGGCGCTGGCGATGGCTCAGAGCGCCGGACCGGGCGCCGTGTAACGGGAGAGGGCCGTGAGCCACGCGGATCGCGGGCGCAGTCCCGGGTGTTCCCCCGCGCCAGGAGGCCGCGGGAGCCCCTCTGCGACCCCCGCCCCCAAATCGCCTCCCAGCGCACCGAGGAACGATGAAAAAAAATAATTCTGCGAAAAGGGTGAGTAGAGAATGGGTTCTTCGCCGGGGTGAGGCGGGGTGAAGGGAGGCTCCTGGATGTTTTGGGGAGGGGGCCGGTTGTTCGCTTCGCCTCTGCTCCCCCCGCAGAAAGCGCACAGAGCCCCCCAAGCAGATCCAAAGAGACCCAAACCCGCTCCCGGCCCTGCTCCTGCCCCTGCCCAGCGCCCCTCCTGCCTCCCGCACCCGCCACAGACACTGGGTGATGTAGGCAGGCAGTTTTCATCTTGGAACACAAGGAAACGATAAAATCCGGAGGCACCATCAATCCGTCGCTCTTTGCCGTGTTGTGTGCTGCACCCAGCGATCCCATCATCGCTGCCTACGGAGACACCTCTGATATAAACCAACCATAGATTTCACCTCTTGAATTAATTGCTCATAAAAAGCTCTAAAACGCGATGAAAACCGCAGTAGAAAAACCCCATCTGGTTTAAATTCCGCCCATCCCCCTCCTGTTCCCCTTTCCACGGGTAAATGCCCGTTGGATGAGGCGATAGAGACGCCGGCCTGTCTTATATAACCGTGGAGGGAACCCTGCCCGCTCCTCGCAGCGTCCTCCCGATGTCGCTTCGTGCCTGCAGCACAAAAATCCCCGTGGAGTGACCCCGGGGAAGGACTCGGTCCCGGCGTCGGCGGAGAGAGGGGCCGGAGGGAGGGGGAGACAAAAGTTGGGCAAAGAGGGAAGGGAGGGAGAAAAGGAGTGTAAAACCAAGAATAATCCCGTTTTCCCCCATTTTCTTCCCTCTTGCTTTGTGTTAGGGGAACCAGGATGGAAACCAGCAACCTGTGCAGCCGGAGAAGGTCGGCTGGGTGCGGAAATTCTGCGGGAAAGGCATTTTTAGGGAAATCTGGAAAAACCGTTATGTGGTTCTGAAGGGAGATCAGCTTTACATCTCGGAGAAGGAGGTAGGATCGGTTTCAGTTTCCTTTCCCATCCCCCCTTCCTCTCTTTGCATATGAAAGGCGCAGCCCCGGCCCTTCCCAGCGCCCCTCCAGCCCAGCCGGGCCGGGGCGGTTCCTCGGGGGTTCTTCTTCTTCCCGGGCTGGCGCCGGCGGGGCCCGGCCGGGTCGGGGTCGGGGTCGGCTCTGACAGCGATTCTCCAGGCAGCTCTGCTGGGAGACATTTTCCCAGCGTGGAGACACGAAAGGATTCACTTAGTTAAGCCCTCAAACCTCTTTCCGCCGCGGCGACAGCAATGCCGGCTCCTTTCTGTGCCTGTCCTCCGTCCTTGAGCCCAACACTGCCTTCTTCCCACCTGCTCATTCTCTCTTTGGAATAACTCCACTCTCCCAGCTGCAATCGAGCCATTTACAGGTCGATCTCTTGCATTTTTCACGGAATTGCACCCCGCATCGACATCCTGGTGTAACACGTGCCCCCTCCACTGCCCCTGGTCTCCTTGCTGGGCTTTGGGCTTTAACGTGCTGTTGACATTGGAGGTAATCGGATGTGACTGTCAGGCTGAGCCAGCACCTGGCTGTCCTTGCATGCCCCCTCCCCGTGCTTTTTGTCTCCATAAATCCATCAGGGAGAACTCCCCAGGCCAGATCCTTCCTCCCTCCCATCCCCTGTGACATCCCAGAGCTGCACTGGGCAGAGTGGTGCCCACAGCAGGCATGGGGGGTTGCTCCAACTCAGGGAATTTGGGATAAAATCCTGATCTTCCTGTGTTTCCCCCCCTCAGTGGAGGTAATTTCCTGACAGACCGTGGTTTGATGCCCTGCTGCCTGGCCTGGCTCTGTCAGGACCTGGAGAGAGGAAGGGATAATTTGATTTAAGGCTGCTTGAGCCATGGATGTGGCACAGGCAGAGAAGGTCAGGGCTTTTTACAACAGAGAAATGGACTAAAAAGTGGACTGAATGCCCAGGTCATGCTGAGCTGCTTGCTGGCATTCCAAAGCTTGCTCCCATCAACCTCCTGGCTGCTCCAGAGCCAGGGCGAAACACAGCAACAGGCAATAGATGTCCAGGTAGCTACAGATCAAATCCAGGTGTGCTGGAGCCCAAGAGAGGGATGAGGCCGGAGGAGCTACACGGAGCCTATTCTGAACAAAAAGCTCTTGTGTTTGTGTTTCACAGGGGCAAAACCACACAGCTGGGCTTGAGGTGGCCCCCGGGCTCCATGTGTGTGTGAGGGACCATAAATAACATGCAGCAGCCGCTGCTGAGGCTTTATATGGAAGAATCTGGTCGCAGAGGTGACATCTGGTGCTGGTGTGTGCTAAGGTGGCTCCATGGAGGTGACATGTGCTGCTGGTGTGCACTGAGGTGACACACTGAGGAAAGGGGGTCTGGCGTCCTGGGGTCTCAAGGTGGGGAATCCCCAGGGGATTCCTGGGGGTTATCCCAAGACTTCCTGCTCACAGGCTCTCAGAACGTGTGGTGCAGGGTTTGATGCCAACTGCATCAGCACTTAGCAAAGGCAGGACCCCTCCTGGGCCCCAGGAAAGGCCCATGTGTGGCTCCAAGCTCTGCTCCCAGAGCATCTGCTTGTTTCCTGGGAGCTCGTCTCATGCTCAGCAGCTGCTCCAGAGGTGTTCTGCAGGTGAAGCCACATTCCCAGCATCTCAGAGTAGAAAGGGTTAAATCCCAAAGCTCCTGGAAGCTCTTCGGCTCTGCCATGCACTCATTAAATGAATTCAAACCAGACATTTATTTACTTTTGCCTGAATTTCTCCATCTGGGAAGCAGGGCAATGAATCCCATCTCCCCAGAGCACACAGGGACTGGGAATTGTCTGTTCCACACCAGGATCCCTTGGGAAGTATCTTGGCTAGGGGCAGGTGTTGATGAACTGCTTGGAGCTGAGCATGGGCTGAGGTCTGGGATGGGGAGATTTCCAAAATTCAGACGAACAAAATCCCATCGATATCCACGCTGATTGCTCCTGGGAATCTGTGTGCTTTTCCAGTTCTCTGTCTAGGATCTGGGCTTGCAGGTCAGGGACCAGCCCGGATTATTCCGTTTTGTCAGGAGAATTTGGGAATGCCTGATAGAAACTTGGGCTTCTCCCTGGCAGAGCCAAGTCTGTAAGGAGAGGAAATGTAGTTTTTCAGCCCAGCTGATGTGGAAAATGCTAACAGGGTGTTTGAGTGCTGCCCTTTGAAAGCTGTGGGACTTGTCTGACACCTCCCGAAATGGGAGCTTGAGGCTCTGGCCCTGCTCACTGCGCTCCCCCACGGCTGCTGAACTCCATGAACTCACACCAAAATCCTCGGTTATTCAGCGTTTGGTTATCAGCCAAAACCAGCTCTGTAGAGATGAGCTGCAGCGAGCCGAGCTCTGCTGAGCACACCACCACCTTCTTAGCTCACTCTCACATTCTTTCCCCTCGGTCCCTCCCCGCGGCACATTTCTGGGAATTGTTCCCTGTTCCCTGTCCCTGCCTGCGCCGGGAGCAGCGGCCGGGCTGACACAGCTCGGGCTCGGCACTTCCTCGCAGGAAGCCGGGGGCTGCCAGACAGCGGGATGAGGAAACGCTTCTCTCCAGCATTGCTTGTTTGCTACCAAAGGCATCGCCTCAATCAGCACAAGAGCACTCGAGGAGGTGCCGCTCCTCGGTTCCAGGCTGGGGGGTGTTTGTGTACTCTGTTCTCTAATGCTCCATGGGGTGTTTGCCCTCAGTGAGCGCTGCTGAACACAACACGATGGGATTTTTGGGAAGAAATTCCTCCCTGTGAGGGTGAGGAGGCCCTGGCACAGGTTACCCAGAGAAGCTGTGGCTGCCCCATCCTTGGAAGTGTCCAAGGCCAGGTTGGATGGGGCTTGGAGCAGTCTGGGCTAGTGGAAGCTGTCCCTCCAAAACCATGTCACAATTCAGTGATTCTGGGGGACCTGTGTCCCTGGTAGCCTTGGTGGTGACTCTTTGGAGAAGGGCCTGAAGCAGCCACGTCTGCCTCCATCCCCTCATCAGCTAAGGGCAGCGACCTGGTCATGACGAGAACTGGACAGCCCCAGTGTGCATCCCTGACCCAGGGACAGCCTGGCTTCAGCAGCTCTGCAGGAAGCTCCGTGTCCCCTGCTGAAGCAGAGCTGCTCAGCTGGAGGAAGTGAAACTTTGGTCGTAGCCTACAAGAGGAACTGTCTGTCCCAAAAGTGCCCATGTTTGGGTATTTGGCTGTACTGAGAGCCTGGAGGTTTCTGGTTACATCCTGAGCCACGCTGTGATCCCCCAAGTGTCCCGTGGGTGCCTCACACTGGGTGTCTCATGATTTTCGGTATCTTCCGCATTTTTCTGTGTCCCATTGCAGCAGGGAACTACTCAAATCGTCGCCAAAACTCCCAGACTGGTGAGACTGAGCACCTGCCCTGTCCCTCTGTGAATGGTTTGACCCCAAAACACAGCCCTGAGCCGGGTCCAGGAGGTTCAGAGTCACTGCAGGTCACAGCTTGATGGGGAAATTCAAACTCTCATCAGTGAGATACCCAAGGGTGGTTCATTAACGCAGGTCAGAGACCCTACTGCTGCCAGTGCACTGCCACGAGCCTTCCTATGGGAGCAGACCTTTGGAAGCACAAACAGCTGTGACCCTCTAGAGAAGAGATTTGGGTGCCATGGCTGATGTTCTGACCCATTACGTGCCCACAGCCCCCCACATCTCAGGGCACAGGGAGTGCTGGGTGCCCCTGGGGCCAGCCTGGGCGGGCAGCAGCTGCGGAGGAAGGAGTGCAAGGAGTGCAAGGAATGCAGCTCCCCTCCTTGGATCCAAGCAGCGTCAGCAGTGTCAGCCTTGGCACAGGCAGTGACACCCTGAGCAGAGCAGGGGCAGCTGCCAGGGGTGTGGGGCTGTGTGATCTCACAGAGAAATGTTCCCTGCTGTAGGGATGGGGGATGCTTCTGATTCCTTTTCCTTGCCTCAGTTTCCCTTCCCTCACCTGGTCACAGGTAGGAGGCAGGTGGAACTGCAGGGCAAGGTTGTTTTGCCTGCCTCAAATGGGTACAACTCGAGAGCAAGGCCATCAGACAGCCAGGGCAGCACCTGCTGGGATTGATTCACCTTAATCCTTCCAATCCCGCGCTCCCCACAGGGCACGGAGAGCAGGACCTGCCTGCTGGTGAGGCTCTGAGATCCCTCAATTCCTTAAGCCCTTGGCAGCTGTGGGGAAGGAAAGACCTGCTGGAAACCTCCCAGCAGGGAATGGTTTTGCCAAAATCAACCACCAACCTCTGGCTTTATGCCTTCCTACTGAGAACTGATACCAGAAGCTGCTTCCTCCTGGGCACTGCCCGGGTGCTGGGACACATCCAGACAAATCCTCTTAGGAGAAGCCTGGAAGGTTTGATTTGGGTGGCCTCTATCTCACTGAGAACGTGGAGGAGGTGACACCCTGCAGGTTTGTCACCCACCTGTGATTGACACGGTGACTGGGATTTCAGCTCTGTTGCCCATATGGTCTGTGGCTCCTCAGGGGCTGGTTTTGTCCTGTTTTCACACAGAATGGGCTGCATGACTGTCCTCGGCCTCTCCTACCTCTGAGGCTGCTCTGAGCTGCCTCTCATGCCACCACTTCCCTCCTTTTGGCCTCAGGAGCCTCCCACAAGGGACTAAAGAGCTGGCAAGTGCCTCTGGAGTTGCCTTTCACCTTCCTTGTCCAGTTTCTCTTTCTGCACACTGGATGCTCTGTTGCACGAGCATGAGAAGGGGCTCAGGTGGCCATGCCCCTGGTGAGACATGCACTGTTCTTCCCGTGCCCCCTGGAATTTCTGCGTCACCACAGCCACCTACTCCAGGCTGCTGCTGACTCTGCTCCCCCAGGAATCCCACTGCAGATTAAGGATTCTGGATTCCCAGTTTTAAGCATTTTATAACGGGTCACACACAGGAGCAGGATCCCCTCAGCGTGTCCCAGTGCAGTGTCAGAGCCCTGGCTCGTGTCATTCGGAGGCATTTAAAGGACAAGCTGCTCCTGCAGGGTGTTTGTCTGAACCTGCTCTGTCCTGCAGCCTCCTGGGGATGCTCCTGCAGGCAGGAGGTTGAGTCCCAGCTGTGGGAGCTCTGTGGAGGAAGGGGAAGGCTGGGGAAGCCCCAGTGACCCATATCAGCAAACATCTGGAGCAAAGGCTCTGGTCTCAGCTGCAGAGCACAGCTGGGGGCTCGGAGGGGGATCGGCTTTTCCTGCTGCAATTGAGTCGGGCAGAATTGGGCTGAGATTCTTGGAAAGAGGTGGATGGTAGGGTGGGAGTGGGAAGAGATCAAAGCCGATTAGCAGCGTGTGGGGAGGATGTGCAGCCAGACAGTCTCTGTTATCACACCCAGACACAGGGCATGTGTCACAAGCAGGAACCAGCTCCGGGCCATCAGGGATGGCAGTGCCGGTGATTGTCCTGTGGATCCTGGGAACACAGGCAGGATGAAGGATAGAGGGGAGCTGTTGTCATCAGGCAGGGCCAGATGGTCAGTTTATCCATGCCCCTGGTTAGGAAGCTGGTTTAGTCACCTTCTTTGATTAAATTCTATGGAAGAATCATAGGGAGTTCCTTCAGTGCTTCCCAAAACTGTGGAGGAAATGTATGAAATGGGGTGGAGTGCCTTCAGGAAATCCTAGGGCTCAGACCTCACTACCATCTGCCTTCCCAGCACCCGAGTTACACACCCTCCACTGCCAGTGCAGCCTGGGATGACTGGCTGGAGTCGGATTAAGCAGATGGATGAAGATCTGAGCCTGCTGCAATGTCTGTAATGGACATGCAAACTCGAGCTGTCTCCCACCCCAGTTTCCTAATTCCACGTGTTTGCCATGGAAGAGCAGAGTTTTCCTGCTGTAGGAGTGGGATTGAGGATGGTGCATTAGGAGAAGAGGAAGGGTATGGACAGCTTTGCCACTTCCCCTTTGCTCCAAGTGTCCCCAAGGGACGGCACGGTCAGGGGTCAGCATCCAGACCCCTGTGTGCCCCTAGATCCCTGCAAGTCCCTCAGTGCAGCTGCAGCCTCAGTGACCCTGTGTGAGCTCCATCTCTAATCTGAGCCTCTGTGACACTGATCCATCCCATGTACCTGTCACATTTTGGCAGTGCAGAGTGTTGGGGAACAGACCTGGAAAATGGGAGATCTTGTGAAGTAGTCACTCAAAAGGACTCTTTAAAGGACACTGAGAGCCAGCAGCCCCTGCCCTCTGGAGGTAGAAGAGGCAGGAATTAACCTGGCAAAGTGGGATTTTCTTGCTATCCTTCTAAATATGCGGCTCATTCCAGAAAAGACAAGTTGAAACCCTCATGTTGAAATCTTGCTGGCTGGAGCAGCAGAGTCTCTGTCTGACATCTGCAAAGCACTAATTTTCTTGTTGTTTTGCAGGTAAAAGATGAAAAAAACATACAGGAAATGTTTGACCTGAGTGACTATGAGAAATGTGAAGAGCTCAGGAAGTCCAAAAGCAGAAGCAAAAAGAACCACAGTAAATTTACTCTTGCCCACTCCAGGCAGCCTGGAAACACGGTATGTGGGGCTTGTCCAGATGCAGCCAGCCCAAAAACCACTGGCTCCAGGGGTGGGCAGGGATGTGGATGGTCCTGGGGGATGCAGGGAGGGATGTAGATGGTCCTGGGGTTTGCTGTGTGGGGCAAACAGGGCTGGAGGCTCAGCTCTGCTTTGCCTTTTCTGTAGAGGCCTCACACTGGCCCAGGCCTGTCTCTGTGTGAGTTCCAGCACTGACCCGACTTCCCTTTTTTGTAGGCACCAAATCTGATCTTCCTGGCTGTGAGTCCAGAAGAGAAAGAGTCCTGGATTAACGCCCTCAACTCTGCAATCACACGTGCTAAAAACCGGATCTTGGACGAGGTGAGCGGGATTTACGCTGAGCCCTGGCTCCCCTGTCTCAGCCCGGGTGAAGGTTTGAGACTGCTGGGAACAGCCTTGTCTTGGGGATACATCCACACAAAGTGTCTTCAGCACAGCTCGTCCCACTTCTCAAGGGGACTGTAAAAGTCCCAGTTACACAAAGCAGCTTCTGCCAGGAAAATAACAGGGCAGCCTCAGTTCAGCCTCTTCCTGGGGACTCAGGGTGTACTCAGAACATCAGGTGAGCTGGCAGAGGCAGGTCAGGGTGGGCATTCCCACACAGTTTCCTTCAGAGGGAAGGAGAACCTACCTGGAGCAAGCTGTGCCCTCGCTCCAGGGCTGACTTTCACATTAATGTTTCATGGCAACCCTTCCTCAGCTCAGACCTGTCTCAGATCTCCCATTCACACTCAGCTTCCCACAGTGCCATGGCACTGCCAGGAGGCTCTTTCCTCTCCTGGATGGCAGCACAGAGCCTGAAGTGAAGGAAAACCAAGGTCAGACTATGGGAGAGGTTTTAGAGCAGGAAGCAAACACCAGGAGAGATGGCTTCCAGGAGAGCCTGTCACAGGAGTCTTTGCAAACATGTTCAGTTGTCAGGAATGACTTGAGCAGATGCAATCCCATCATGACACAGAGGGGAGAGACCAAGCAAATACTAGATCGCTCCCACACGCCATTCCCTGCCAGCCTCCTCCTGCTTACAGCTACAGGAGCTGGGAATGGCTCGTGCTCCGTGCTCACAGCCTGTGTCACCCCGCAGGTCACCGTGGAAGAGGACAGTTTCCTTGCCCACCCAACACGTGACAGAGCCAAGATCCAGCACTCCCGGCGCCCTCCCACGCGGGGTCACCTCATGGCTGTGGTAGGTACAACCAGTCCCAGACGCCTGCTTGGGTGAGATTGCCCTGGAAGTGTTCCATTTGTAAGTGGAGTTGTTGGAGCTCCATCCTGAACTGAGAGCTGCCGTAAGGACAGCTCGGGGTCATCAGCTCTCATCCTCTGGTCTCGCGGACCACTGCACTGTGCACACCTTCTGGCCAAGTCCACCCCAGGCTCTGTGGCTGAGTGAGGGAGCATTCCCACTCCCTCCCTGTAGTGTGTATCCGCAGTGAAGACACCCCTGGAAGCAGGGACAGCCATTCTGGTGCCAACTCTTCTTTCTGCTCCTCCAGGCATCTACCTCAACCTCTGACGGAATGCTGACCCTCGACCTGATCCAGGAGGAAGACGCCTCTCCGGAGGATCACGGCACCTGCGAGGAGAGTTTCCGGGTGGATCTGGACAAGTCCGTGGCACACCTGACAGCGGGGCGGCGCCGCTCGGACTCGGAGAACACCAAGTCAGCGGAGAAAGGGCGGACAGGGAGCCTCCCCCGACAGGAGGTGACCTTGTGGGACAGAGCCGGGCAGCGCAATGACTCCTTTGACAAAGGGACCATGTACACGCCGCAGGTCCCCAAAAAGCTCTCGTACTCAGAAAAGAATAAATGTGCCTCCATGGAAGAAATCCTGTCCCGACGGGACTCTTCCACGCATCGGGCGGTGCTGAGGAAGGGGCTGGAGGCTCAGTTTGCCTCAGCAGAGCCGGAGCAGCTGTCCCGGATACAGGAACTGGTTGCACTGAAACTGGAAAAAACTCAGGAACTGCTGACAGAGGTGAAGGGCTACGGGGAAGGCAAGAGAAAGACCAAGGACTCCAACACCAGCACCACCATCACCACCACCTCTTCTTCCTCATCATCTTCCAAGTCGGACTCTGAAAAGATCCTGCAGGAATCTGAGAGGCTGCTGGGGGAGGCTTCCTCCACCTGGAGCCAAGCCAAGAGGGTGCTGCAGGAGATCAAAGAGCTGAGGGACCTGTACAAACAGTTTGAGCTGCAGCAGTCAGACTCGAAGCCCAAACAGAGCTCACAGTCGCAGTTTAGGAAGAGCATGATGTGAAGGCAAGCCTTGGGATGGGAGGGAGGGACTGGGAAGGGTGGCCATCTGGTCTTTTTTTTAATTATTATTATTTACAGTGTTCAAAAGAGTGAAAAGGTGCCTGTTCTCACCCAAATTTCCTTCTCAAAGCTTGGACCCTTCCTTTCCTCCATCGCATCCCCTGATGAATCAACCCAGTGTTCCAATAAATCAGTTGCAGTTTATACCTCCTTTGTAAGAGCTCCCTTTGCACTGCAGGCCCCAGCTCCTGTCTTGCTCCAAGGACAGGAGCGAGTGCTGGTTCCTGGGAACTGCCCATGTCTCCCTGGAGCATCCCGTGGGGTGGAGCTGCATGAGCCCTGGCACTGCTGTGCCCCAAACTCTATTTCACCAGGACACGTGCCCTGTCTCCTCTCAGAAATTAATGACATTGAAAGGTCAGAAAAGGTGTCCATCCCCACCGCTGCCTGGTTCCTGCCATTATCCAGGAACTCTCCTGAAGATGTGGGAAGGCCAGGCTGGTCTCCAGGCTATTGAGGCTTTTGCTGGGTGCAGCTCGCAGAGCTCTGTCCTGGCAAAGTCCCCTAGAAAACTTGGGGCTGGCAGCTGTTATTTTGGGGCGCACACAGAACCCTCTGGAAGAGCAGCAGTGATGCAATCCATATCCACCCTGATCCGTTCGGGCCATGAATGCTTCACAGACCCCCTTGGCCTCGAGCAGTGGGAGGTAGCAGTGATGTGTCTTCCCTTCTGTGCAACCAGAGGATCAAAGCCTTGGATTCAACAGCCCACACAGGCAGTTGAGGGGGGGTTGGGCTTTTCATTCTCATATTCTCATTTCTTTTTTCTTTACCTTTTTTTTTGAGCTGAAAAGTCAGGGGGTGTGTGGGGGAGCCAGACACCACAAGCCAACGACAGTTTTGGTAGGTTTGCCTTGCTCTCTCAGGTGTCATACTCAGACAGCAGCAGGCTCTGCTTGGGCTGCCCAAGATCTGAATCAGCCCTGCTGGAAGGAAAGCTGAGCCCGGAGCAGAGCTCAGATCATCAGCTCACAGGCTGGCTCAGCTTTCCCACCCACGAGCAGGACATGGCTGTGTCTCACAAGTTCACTCGTGGTAACATCCAACTGTTCCTTGTTTTTTAAAAGGAAACCTAATTCTTTTACCTACATGGCAAATAGTCCACAAAAATATTAAACCCACAGAGTTACTTCTTGGTTGTGGTTAGTGTTTTCTCTTTACTTTCTTGGCTGCGATTACAGGAGTTTTTTAAAATTGAAGGAAAAATAAAACCAAACCCCCAACCTTTCTCAATGAGTTTGGGTTAACCAGACTCCAGTGATACTTCCAGGGATAACTTTCCATGTTGATGAACTGATTGCTTCACAAAGCTTTTTGCAAGGAACCACTGAACCTCCCTTGTGACCTGCATCCCAGGTAGTGCCAGTCCCACACCAGCAACTCTCCTTGGATTTTGGAATGCTCATTGCCATGCTGCTGTGAACAGAGGGCTCTGGAAGAACCAGCACACACTCTGGGAAGGGCTGAAAGGTCACCACAAGCAGCTGTTGGTGCAGCTGCCCCTGACACACCTGAGCAGCCCTGCCCTGCTCCTTCAGGAAGGCCCTGAAGCTCCTACAGGCAGTTTTGGGGATCTTGCCTCTCTGCTCACCCCTCACAGTTTTTTCCCGTTTCTCCTGCCAGGCCCCTGCCCTCGGTGGCACTCCCAAAGCTGCTGGCATGGTGCAGGGAGCCCTACGGAGCAGCAAACCAAGGGCAGCACAGAGGTGGCTTTGTGCATCGCCCCCCGGTCGGTCGGTGGCTCTATCCATGCGGGAATAACACTGCACAAAGGGGCTGTGCTCGCCCAGCAGTGCAGCAGCCGTCTGCCGTTCCCAGAAAGGGCCCGTATTGTCCAGTGGGGCAATTATGTTGGGTCTGGAGACAAAACACTGGATCATTACAGGAATACAGAGCGCCCTGGCCGGGCAGTGCACAGCAGACAAGTCTGAAGCCTGATAATGGCCAAGAATTCTGGGTTCTGCCCAACTGTGCCTCGAAAACACGTACAGAACGGGGAAAAGGGGGCTGGGAAGGGGATTTCCCATTACACTACAGGGAGACGGGATTGGGACTGGATTCTTAAGATGTAGGCAAAGCGTCTCCTATAAAAATAGCTGCAATTTGCTCAACACATGCTGAGGAGTGGGCAAGCAGCGTGTGCTGCGCTCGTCAGCTGGCACTCGGCTCCATCCCAGCACAGCCAATCCCCGGAGCGCTCCCGCTCTCAGCCAAATAAGGACCGCGGGGCGAGGAACCCCGGCTGCACACAGCACACAGGAGCCCACCCACCCTCCCAGCCAAAGCGCCTTTTTTGGATTATTTTCTCCCTCTCTGCCACAAAAGCTTTAAGCAAACCCCCTCCTCCCTCCCTTCCTCCATCCTCTGCCTTTCTAAGGGAATTAACAGAGAGACGCTTAGGATGGAATTCTTGGGAATTCCTGTCAGGGTGGTGAGGCCCTGCAGGGTGCCCAGAGAAGCTGTGGTGGCCCTGTCCCTGGAAGTGTCCAAGGCCAGGTTGGAGCAGTCTGAGATAGTGGAAGGTGGCGCTGCCCATGGCAGGAGTGGACCTGGATGAGACGTCTCTCCCAAGACCCAAACCACTGAGTTATTCCCTGATTTAAATGAAACACTAACCCCAACACCCTGCAAAGAGAGGGCTGAAACCCCAGCAAACCCTCACAAGCTCCAGGGGCTGTGCTCAGACAGAGCTGACCCCACCACAGAGAGTTCCTGCCCAGGGAGCATGTTTTGGGGTGTAGCCCCACAGATCAGCCCCATGTGACGCATAGCTGCCCTAAGTTTCACCCACTGCAGCTCTGGGGACACAGGGAGCAGCTGCAGTGTCTCTGCAGTGCTGAGAGGCCACTGGAAGGCAGGAGGTACTGATTAAGAGGCTTTTGGTGGCTTTAAATAGAATTTACACTTGGAGGCAACTTTCACACTGCTGACGGGCGGCAAAACTCGGGCGTAAAGCAGGAACGGGTTCATGTTGTTCCAGTAGCAGTGGGCTATTCTGCAGGCTGGAATTACACCTAACAAAGCAGTTCACAGCAGTAAAACTGGGGTGGATAAAGTCCAGTTTCTATCCTTGGAAAAAGCCCCTAACCTCCCAAGTGGAGCAGAACACCAGTAACTCATGGCAGAGGGTTCTCAGGCTGAGGAAGGGGTGGATAAATATAATTTTTCAACACAGCCAATGGCTCCTGCTGTGCAGAAGGATTTCTTGGAATTACTGATGGAGAAAACTGCAGAAGTGATTGCTTATTTTGTTATTCTCCAATAAGGCTAATGCCTTAAAAAGAGAAAGTAGGATTTGTGTCCAGAGGTGGAAAATAGGAAGCTATAGACCCTCCAATATCCCAACTGAACAATATGTTCAGCACACCCTTAGAATAAATTCCATGGAATCCCAAGGCACTCCGATATGTTATCAGAGCTGGGGGCATTCTTTCCTGGACATCTGTGTCAGCAGCTGTAGGTGAACACCTGGGGCTCCAGAGATGCCACTCGCTCACACCCTGTCCCTCACACCCTGACCCTGTCCCTCATCAGCTTTTACCTCCATGGGCAATCAGTTTGGACTTTTGAAATAAAATGGGAAATGTGGTGCTTCCTACCTTGGCGTGCTGGAGGATTAAATCTTCTTCCAAGTCCCTAGAGAGGAAGAGACATAAAATAGTTTGACCCACTTTCACAAGAATAATTATTGACTTAACAAGTTCCAACTAGGTTTTCAAATTAAAGCTCAGCAAGAACAGACCCACTTCCCTAAAAAAAGAAATAAAAGGGGAAAATTCAGTGGTTCTGTATGCCAGATATACCTGTGTGCAAATGTATCCCTGGAATATGCACATGTGGAGATTTGTGTGTCTTCCCTCTAGGAAGGAATTCTTTGGTGAGATACACAGTACAGTGCCTTGGATTTCTTTTCACTAAACCCAGTTTGAGCTGTCAGAGTGTTCCTCATCAGGCTCAGGGATCCCCACACTCCTCTCCCTGAGTGGCCAGAGGGGCTGGTTCAACACTGGGAATGTTTGACATGACACCTAGTAAAGTGACACCACAGAAAAGGTGAAAGGTGCAGGATTCCTTCCTATTGGAAATGTTTCCTGAGCCTGGCCCAGGAATATCAAATCTCTGCTTTTAGATTCTGTTGATTTGTTTGACTCTATAAAATGTCCTGAGGGATTGAAAACTACAGTGATTCTCCCACTTCCTTAATTTATAATGTGTTTAAAAATTTGTTGCTCTGTTTTGACACAAATCATCCCAGCTTAGAGGCAAGAGAAGATTTTAAAATCTTTTTAACATTTGGGAATGCTTGGGAGAGGCCAGACCAGCCAGAGTTCACAGGGCAGAGCTCAGCCCCCTCCTGACACCAGTGGACTGAAATGGTGATTTCTCCTTCCAAACCCCTGCCCCGGGGCTGACGGAACAGGGCCTGTGGTCAGAATAAAGAGCCCATACATGTAGGACAGGAGGACAGAGGGAACCATTCAGAGCTGGAGGAATCTGTGGCTCACAGGCTGATACAGGCAAAGGTCTGGCATGGACTGGAATGAGCCAGTGGAGATGTGGACATCATTATTTAAAGGACTCTCAACAAATGGGCTGAGTCATTAATGGCTTTAAACTGAAAGAGAGGAGGTTTAGATGGGATTTTGGGAAGGAATTGTTCCATGTGAGGGCGGGGAGGCCCTGGCACAAGGCTCCTAGAGAAGCTGTGGCTGCTCCTAGATCCCTGGGAGTCCAAGGCCAGGCTGGATGGGGTTGGAGCAATCTGGGCTAGTGGAGGATGAAACAGGATGAAGAAGAGCTGAGAGCAAGGGATCACTCTGCGTGCACCCAACCTGCCCCAGCACTGCCCAGGGCTCTCCTGCACTCCATGAGTGCCAGCTGCCCGCAGGCCAGCGCTGGCCCAGCTCCACTCGCCAGGTGCCACTGGTTTGTGCTGCACCATAAGACACTCCCTGGCTTTCTCCAGAGCAGCCTCCCTCTCTGTGCAGCCCAGTGTTTCTCCTCCCAGCCCACTTGCTGCTATATATAATCTGAGCACTGTCTACCTTTCTGCAGAGCGAGCTGGGAGTCATGCTTCCCAGAAATCGTGAGGTGGCATTCTGAATGCTGACAGTTCCTGGAAAAGCCTGCTCGGAATGCCTGCTCCAGGCTGCTGGCTCTCTTGTCCTGTATAGCTCACAGGGTCACTCAGGTTAGGTCTGCTGGCAGGACACAAACTGGTAAAGTTCAATAAATGAGAGGTCTGGCTCATACTGGCTCATAAAAATAACATTTGGCCTCTGTATGTCAAATAGATCCTTTGGAAAAATCAGTTTCTCTCTCCTTGCTCAAGTCACATATTTGCTTGCTGCCATCTGCTCTCTCCTGCCTTCCAGGGAAGAGTTCACCCACCAGCTCATCAATGAGACCAAACCCACAGACAAATCTGGCTGAATTCTTGTTTCTTCACGGGCACAGCTCATCCTTCCCGTGACCTGAGTCTGTGCTGCTGCAGCGTTCCTCAGGCAGCTCGTGACCTCAGTTATTCCTCAGTTCTCAAAACGTCACTGCCTGTATTTTCAGATGTTTTAAAACCAACTTCCCTTTTTATAGTGCCATCGAAACAGTTTTCTGTTACTTTCTTACTGATCAGCAGTTTGGGAAGGTTTCATTACACAGAAAAGTTATCTCAGGGGCTCAGGACCCAGGATTTGGGCCCTCCTGAGTTATGGAATAACAGGATCAGAGGATAACAATAAATCCAGAGCCTGTGAGGCAGGAAGAGCGGGGCCGGTTGTTCAAACGCTGCCTCTGCCAGGTCCTTGGGGCATGATTTGGGGTGAATCACCCTGTTCTGTGTGCCCTTACCCCATGCCAAGGGTAAGTATGAGATCGCTGCGCTCAAAATAGGAAGAAGCTGCTCCTCCCTGCGATTCCCGGCAGGTGAGGAACAGGATTCCTGCAGGAAGGAAGCTGATGCCACAGGGCAGGAGGCACTTCAATTAACTGATGGTGACAGTGAAGGAAGTATTCAGTATTCCCTGGCACAAAACATTCCCTAAGATTTTTCCCACTTCACTTAAAGGGAAAATACAAACCAGCAGTGTCAATTTAACTCCAGAGGGGAGAAAGGAGACTCCAAAGGGGAACAGAACAGGTGCTCAGTACTGGGTAGAGCAGTGAGGGTCCCAGGGAGGAGGGAGCAGGGTAAGGAGGATTGTGAACATATTTACAGCCATCTGGCACCCTGAATTATCCAAACAATGAGCCTGCTTGAGCACTCACTGAAACACAGAGAGGGAAGGAAGGAGTTTGTTTGGACAGAGGATCCTGAGGGCTTCATGCTTCCAATGTATGCTTTCTGGAAAGCTTTATATCACTTATAATTATTTATATGTTACTGGAGATGTAGGGAAATGAAATCAGAAGGAAGTGGAAGGGCTACTCCTTCTGGCATTTTTCCTTCCAGGTTTCTAGAAATCAAGTCATAGGAAATAAAAGATATCTTGGGAAATCTTGGTTCCTTGGGAGGCAGCAAGAGGGATCAGAAATTAATCAGGAAAGTTTGTCATCACCAAACTTCCATAAGAAGAACAGCATAAACCCACCAAGTTCAGTCAATTCCAACCACGGATTTTTTGTATTTTCTGCCTTCCATTCCTTCCTGTGCTTAACGAAAGACTTTTCACTCTCTTACCTACACGCTCTCGATAATTCCAGTGCACCACAACTTCTGCAGGGCCTCGCCTCCCAGCAGCTTCCGAAAGGTGCCATTTTAAGGAGCCACTCGGAGTCTCACGGGTGAAGACAGCTCAGAGCCAGCCGCGCTCTGCCTCCCCCTCGCCAAAGCCCGTCGCTGGTCGCGCTGTGCCCTCTAGTGCTCGTTCTCCCGGTCCAGGGCTTCTGCAGCCCGAGTTCGCCGGGAGGATTGGGAATGCGCTCCTGCGGAGTAGCCAACGGGAGCTTTCCATGGAGCTGCAGTTATTGAACGTTTCCCTTCCCTTCTCCGCATGTGGCACAGGAGGAATCACACGGGCCCTGCAGCAGCGTGTTGGTGCCCGGCTCCCCGTGCAGCGCACGCACGGATTGACAGGAAAATACATCCAAGAACAGCAAACTCGAGTGCCACCCGCTTTCACCCCGGCCAGGCAGCCCTAACTTTGGTCCAGACCTGTTTGATTCACAGTGGAAGCACATTTTCTACACCATTAGAAATTAGGTGTGTTGGAGAGAGGAAAAAGAGTGATTTGGGAAGTACTTCAAACACTTGCATTGAGATGCACATGAGAATTCCGAAATTCAACTAGTTTGTGGGCATTTGATTATTGCCATCTTCCCTGGGATTCCTCACTTTGTTCTAGGGAATACTTTTTCAGTGTTGATCTGGGAGTTTTGTTTGTAGTGAGAATGCTTAACCTCCACATAGAAATTCTGCAGCAATTGAAGCCTCCAGCGATCCAGAACCTCAGAGCAGAGAGAGGTGAATATTCTTCCTCCTTCTGTTCCTCCTGTTGCTTGCAGAGGAATTACGTGGTCTGTGCAGGGATGTGAACGAGGAGGAACTCAGGATGATTGTGGGAAATAAAGGGCTCTCTCAGGAAAAAACTCACTAATTGGTGTAGTATGTTAATGTAAGAGATTTCACCAACAAGCAGCCTTCCACCCCCCCAGACAGAGATGGAAATACCCCTCAGCAGATCATCAGAGAAAACATTCTCATCGCCACAAGTCTGTGCTTCAAAGAACACCTCAAACACAGAATTTAACACCAGGAGCTTTTGGAGCTGCACAACTGTAGCAGGAGTAACGGGGTGGGTGTGTATGGGAGGTGTGAGCACAGCCAGTATTTGGCATTAAAAAGTCAGCACCCAATTATATCCTTAAATACACTTATGACTTGTACAAAACAGGGCAAGTTTGAACTCCCAAGGCTGATCCTGCAGCTTATGGTGTGGATCCCCTGATAGTGATGCTGATGAAAGAACAGACTGAAGACGTTCTCGGTTTCCAGGAACACAAATTACCCAATTCACTCCAACTGGGTTTTGCTGTGACATGGGAGCTCACTCAAAACACACAAACGTAAAAGAAACACCACAGCACACACTTTTAAGCAGAGTAATTATGACTCATCACAGTGATGAAGCTGAGAGACACAGATGTGATTCTGAAATGAGTGCAGAAAGGCACTTGCTGCAGGGATGCCTTAATTTCAATACGCCATTAGCCAAGAGCTCCCTTCCAGCCTCAGATTCCTAATTAAACATGATTCCTGCATGTCCTCAACATTCCCAGGGACGAGGATGTGACAAAGCCCCTCACAAATGGCCAGAAGGTATCAGTGGTTCACCAAAGCAATGCTGAAGAGCTCTGGCTGGCTGCTCCTCAGTCATCACTAGATTATTTTTATTTGAATTAACTCTAGTCTAGAAGGAAATGCCCCTCAAACACCCTGTGTGAACACATTACATTCAGATAGGAGCAACCAGCTCCTTTTCCAACATGAACCCACACCCTGGGGTCATTTTTTTTCCTAGAAGAGAATCCTTTTCTCAGTGCCAGAAGCTCCCAGCTTTAATGTGTCCTGTGGTTTTCTGCTGGTTTGCTGTCAAGGCCAAACATTTATTTTTGGATTCTCCCTCATTTGTGCCAATTAAATTAGAAGCAGTAGGAAAGACTTTCCTCGGCTATTTTGGGGGGTAATTTTTTATTATTTTTTTAATGAGACACACTCAAAGCAGAAACTGAGCATACTATGAACTGTAATTTTAAAATTTAAAACCAGAGGAGTGTTCCCCAGGAGACCAAACTATAACTCCAGTAGAAACCTCCCAACAGCAGTAGCAACAGGAATTTCCCTGCCCCAGGCTCTGCAGAGGGACATTTTCCATGTCCTGCTCCAAGCAGCTGCTGTCCCTGATATTTTCTGTCCTATCCCATGGGTTTTGGTACCCCGGGGGAGCTGCATTCCTGACTCTCCATTTGCGCCAGTCGATCGATGAGCAAATGGAGAACACGAGTATGCACATCTAACGTGACACTGCAACCCCTGGCACAACCGAGAGACTCAGAAATGGATAAAAATAATTCAAGCATCATTTTTTACCTCATAAATTCAGATCTCATTCTTTGCTTCAGACCTTTGCAATGGGTATGACCAGTGAAACTGGTGTATTTTTAGTATACAGCAGCTCTGCTGCCAAAATCAACAATAGCTCTGTTTGCTGGAAAATGGGGCAGTTTTTATTCTAAGATTTCTCATTACTCCATCATGCAGTTCAAAGGATTTTACAGTTTTCTCCAAGGCCAAATTCCTGAATTCATGGGATTCCACGAGAATGTTGGCTTCCCCATTCTCACATTAAAATATAGATGAGTGAAGCTGAAAGTGAGCTGCCTGCGGGTTAGGCATTGAGAGATCCTTGGGGTTTATATCCTTGGCAGTATGAGGTTTTTAAAATTAATTTAATTTGACGGAGAATAAAGGGGCAAAAAAAGCTAACTGGTCATTATGGAATGTGCGGGGATGGCAAGAGATGATTCTAGGAGTTCTTGGTCATATTTCATACCCAAAAAAACCTCCTTGTTTTGGAAGTCTGATCTGTGAGAGCCCCAGACCACTCCCCTGACCCAGGCACCTTGTTCATAGAAATAACCCTAAATTCCTTCTGTATTGTGGTTGGGTTTAATTAACCTGGAAATGGGCAATGGCATGTAGGGATGTAATTGAGAAAGGGGAAGATTTGCCTCGGAACCTGCATGTGTCACATTGCCCTGGGAAAGCAGGATTAATTCAGGGGACATTAGGAATTACATGGCAGCAGGAGCTGCTTGGAAACACACACTTTGGAGTTCCCTTGCTACTGGACTTAAACTAAGCAACCTGACGAATTTTATGAGGAATTTCTTCCTATTTTCACCCAGTGCATTTGTACCAAATCCTGGCTGAATTTACCCTTCCTCACTCGACGTCGACAGCCACCTTCGGAAGCACGGTTTGTATTTTCGGATTTTTTCCTCCGCTTGGACTCTGAACCGCGTTGTTTCCCATCACCGGAATGAAGTTCACACAGCCTGAGGGGAAAAGCCTCTCCTGAAGGCTTTGGGATGGAAACGGGGCATTTCGGGTGGAAGCAGAAGCTGTTTTGGGGAGGAAATGGGACTTTGGGGGCAGTTTCGCCCTCACCGCCGCTGTGAGGGGCCTGAGGGAAGCAGAAGCTGTTTTGGGGAGGAAATGGGACTTTGGGGGCAGTTTCGCCCTCACCGCCATGAGGGACCTGAGGGAAGCAGAAGCTGTTTTGGGGAGGAAATGGGACTTTGGGGGCAGTTTCGCCCTCACCGCCGCTATGAGGGGCCGTTTTGGGGAGGAAATGGGACTTTGGGGGCAGTTTCGCTCTCACCGCCGCTATGAGGGACCTGAGGGAAGCAGAAGCTGTTTTGGGGAGGAAATGGGACTTTGGGGGCAGTTTCGCCCTCACCGCCGCTGTGAGGGGCCGTGGGCGGGGCGCCGCGCGCGCGGGTGGCGGGAAGGCGGAACTGCGGCAAATCTCAGCCAATCAGCGGCGGGGTCGCGGCTCGGCCCCTGCTGCCCGCAGCTGGGGAGCCCCGTGGGTGGCGGTTTCCCGCGCGCCCCCTCAGGCGGGTGCCCGGGCTGAGGGAAAGGCGCCCCCGACCCCTGAGGGAGGAAGATAAGGAGAAACAGCAGCACTGGGAGGGGGAGATAAGGGGCAAGAGGGGACTACACAAGACAAAAGCCCCGGAGAAGGAGGAGTAGGAGGAGGAAGGAGCAGGACGGTGGAAGCTGCCCGCTGGCACGGCTTCCCCTCAGTGCAACAAAATGGAGGGCGGGGGGCTGTGCAGTGGGACAGGGTAGCGGCCGCATCCCTCGGTCCCTGCCCAATTCCATCTCCAGACGCCGGCAGCGACAGGTGCCTGGCGTTGTGGCAGCAGGTGAACTGAGTAAACCAGCGGCTGGGGCAGGGAGAGCCGGTTCCACACGGGTCATGACGGGCTGGAACCCATCAGCCACACAGCAGGTTTTTCCTGCCTTAAGATGTGCCAGCACACCACCTGAGCTTTCTCCTTTGCCGCGTGACAGCCCGGTTTTACCTCAGCCACCTGCAGCCCCAAAAGATGGATTTAACTTGTTTAAAGTCATCCTGAAAATCAGGTTCCCTGTCTGGCCCCAGGGGCAGTGGGAAATGCATGCAGAGGATAGAGGTGTGGGGCTTCAGCTGGAACAGCAATTCTTCTCCACCCTCTAAAACTAAATAAAGCATCCCAAAAAGTCGCCACCCATTTCTTGCCTAATTGCTCATCCAGCAGTAGAAAAGCCTATTTGCCAAGGGCTTTCTCAAGTGCATCCAAGGGATTTTTGCCAGGAATGCTGGACTAATCCCAAGATAAAACAATGCTTTCTCTAGCTCGGGAGCAGGAGCAGCAGGTTTTTTTTTTAAACATTGTTCTTGTGTGAGGAATATTTCAGCAGCAGACTTGGCTCAGGCTGCCAGGCACAAGGCAGGACCTGTGAAAAACAAATCTCAAGACTCACCCAGACTCGGATGTCTATAACATCTGTGTAAAACTTACCTGCAGTCCAAGTTCCATCCCCAGAAACACACACCACTCTGCAGGTTTCCACCCCATTTAAACAAAACCAGAAAGAAAATTCCCTTACTCCATTCCTTCCCACAGGTGGACATACCCCAAGAAGTAATCCAATACAATAGTCTCAATTTATTTGAAATAATTCGGATTGAAAACTTTTTAATTTAAAATTTACAGCACACATGGGGAGGAAACATGTTTTGTTACAACTAAAAGTTACCAGAAGAGTGCTGCAGGGCTGTTGTCTTTAATTTAACACTGTCATGGCTTTATTCAAAACACAGTTGCACAAAATCAGTTACTCCAAAGTTTCAGGAAAGAGTCGGAGAAGGAACCAAACCACACTATATACAGACTGCCATACAAAGAGCATTAAAATAGGACAAAACCTCTACAAAATATAAAACCCACCCTGACGTATTTGCATGAAAAGACCACCCACCAAGCAAAAAAGTTTCAAAAGTTATCTGGAGGCTCTGAATTCCTCATTAAAAAACGCTGTTGCTGCATGCCGAGCGGAGGACACAGGACCGGGGACGGTGACACTGGGACAGATTTTGGGTTGGTGAGGGGCTCAGGTTCCACGTGGTGGCTGCGGCACTGCGGGTGTTTGGGAAGTGGGAAGTCTGGCCTAGGGAAGGGCTGTCACCCCTCGGAGCTCAGTCTGTCTGGTCTCAGGAGCTGGACTCGCTTATCCAAACAAACCCACTACCCACATTATTTTAATCCATCAAAATAGACTTTTTTTTTTTTTTCCATTTAAAACTAATTTTATCTGCATCAATAACAGACAGTTAAGTAAAACCCTGACATGGAGGTGCTCTAACGTACACACTTATAAATAACAAGTTTCAATCTAAAGACAAGAAGCAAAAGGATGGGAAAACACTTTTTCTCTCAAAGCTGAGCACCAAGTAAGTGCCTCGCCCAGAACCTTCAGGACATGACAACCATGCACTGACCCACCCAGGACTCATCACAAACACAGGACT